CTGTTTACTGATTAATGACTGATTGATTACCGATAAACATCGATTACCATTAAACTGAACTGATCATGACTGATAATTGAACTGATTAAAGTACTGAACTGACTGACCGAAATTGAAACTGAATGGATTGAATACATCTGTTTGAATTGCATTCTATCTGTTGACTGTTTGTTTGATCTGTTCATGTTTTATGTTTAAACTGCTGATTGAAGGCCTTATCGGCGGCCGAATTAGAAACCGATTAGTGTTTTATGATCCTCATGATTAATGTGATTTTATGGTGTATTTACCTGAAAACTGATTAGGTATGATTAAATTAGATTAAATATTGATCAATTGCAGAGTTGGCCTTATTTACCGAACTACCCCTAGTGGACCACTATCTCACACACACACTTTAGCCTTATACATTGAATCAAACATTTCTTTAGCCTATTTGTGAGACCCTTAGCCGACCATAGAGAGAGAGAGACTTTTTTTAAAAAAAAATAAAAAAAAAAAAAAAAAAAAAAAAAAAAAAAAAAAAAAAAAAAAAAAAAAAACTCACCTAGTACTCCAAGCCAAAAGCAAACAAAGTTAGAAAAATGCATGATTCCTAACTATGTTAAATGACTAATGCAACACATGCGATATGCAATTAAATAGGCTTGGCTGCATAATCATGGTATTTGGAACACTTTGATTGCATGCTTTGAAACACGTATTTAAAGAAGTATTAAAATGACAATGTAGTTTGAATGATGCGTCGAACCTAGGTGCATGCCAGACAAACGAATGGATGCAAACATGCGAGCATAAGGTATGCTAATTGAAAATGTCCCTAATCTAACCATCAAAAGCAATTAAATAAAAGGGACAAAGACGTGGGGTTGGAAGACATACACACATATACGGACACTTATTACAACATTACGCCCTCACGAATGAGGGTTTGAATGAATAAAAGCTAAGCTAAGCTAAAATTATTACAACAGAATATTTAACTAACTATTCTAAGCTAATTAAATATAACAAACCGAATTAATTAACTAAACACTTAACTAATTAATTACCAAAAATGATTAAGCTAATTAATTATAACATGAACTAATTAACTAATCATAAATAATTACAACATTTGTGAGAATTAGCTACAACTAATTAATTAAGAAAGTTAACTAAACGGCCTCGAGAAACAACGGATGCATGCATGTTCAATTTCTCCACCCGAAAAGCCACTGTTTTGCTGCTACGAGCCTCTGTTTGCGCATTTGAACACTAAAAAAGCTACCAACTTCTAGAATACCTCTGCTCCAACTCAGAAACACACTGTGCAAATTTCATTGGTGGCCAATAGGGGGCATGTTGGCTACCAATGGTGGCCGGTCGGCCATTGATGACATGAACTCCTCTTTTTGCTGCAACAGAGAGCAGATAGAGCAAAATAGTGTATTCACAGGTTTGTTTGTACTATTTACACTCCTTATCATCAAACAAGCTCAAAGGAGTGAAACTCTTGGCCCTTAAACCATCAATCAAGGAATTTCCACGCATGATGGCCAAAGAACAAAGTTTGAACAAGTTTGATAAATGCACAAACAAGACCAAAATAGCCACTGCCATATCATGCATGATCAAGGGTAATGGTGACCAAGGAAAGTGACATATTTCATCACTTTTGAGTATGAAATGTCCCATTTTCCTTGTGTTCAAATTAATGTCCGATTTGAACACATGAAATGTAACACAAAAGATGCTTATTTTGCTTCTTTTACTTGTCCAATTTTGTTTACTCATTTTAATTACCAAATCCATCCTTTAATCAATTTAGTCCATTAGTGGGAGTCCTCTAATGGAAAGATGGCTCAAACCACAAGGTCCTCTAATGAAAGAGGCATTACATTGTCGGTAATGAACCCCTTAAGGGATTAAACTATTAGCTGTAGCACTTCTATTTCACGCTTAGGCAAACAAGTGGTTTGAAACCACTTTCAAAGCAAACAAAAGAGTGAAGAATTGAAGAAGATTGCAGAGATTTTAGATGCTAAAATGAAGTGCAAAACAACACTAAAACATGCTATCAACTCAAATCAATGGTGATTGAAGCCCTAAAACACCAAGGTAGTGAAGGAAATTACATTACAACCATACCATACAAGGCTCAAATGACCTAAATAGACAAAAATAGAACTGAAACAGGTCAAAATAGTGGGAAAAACATGCTGGACTAAAGATAAGTAAAGCTAGAAAAACATACTAACACATGAAGTTAACTAGGCATGCAAATAAGACACAAGGAGGGGAGGCTAACCCCTTCAAATTTGGATTTCAAAATAAGTTTTTCATGACTGAAAAACCTCTGAAATTCAGTGGTTAAAAGGCTCAAAAAAGCTGATTTGAAAGTGATGAAAAATGGTACAAAAGCTTAAAAGGCAAAGGAGAAAGGAGGGTGGACATCCCCCCTAACCCAAAACAGCCTCAAACTAACACTTTTAAACCATAAAAATAGAGTTTTTGATAGTTCAAAATCGGCCAAAAAACAGTTAAAATAGATGGCAAAACAAAGATACAAAATAAGCTTAAATAAGGTAAGTACTATACCTTTGAAGCAAAGCACAAATTAGGCACAAATTCAAGTTCAAACCTCTTTCTAGACCTCAAACATGACTCGAAGGAACCTCAACTGGTCAAGTTTGATTAAGGGTTGGTATGCAAAAGTATAGAGAAATTAGGCAACCAAGCACAAAATATCAAGAGAGAGAGTGACAGAGAGAAAGCTAGAGAGAGAGAGAGAGAGAGAGAGAGAAATCTAGAGGGAGAGATATTTTTTTGGTCTAAAATTGCTAACCTCAAAAAATGGAGAAGGAACTCCCCTATATATAGAAAACAAGTATTGAGCTTAGGAACATCCTACCATACACGTGCATGGAGATGTAGTTCAATATGCAATAGCTGGCACAGTTGTCAATAAATATCTAGAAAAAGAAATTGGTGGCCGTCGGCCACCACTGGTAGCCAACAAGCATAAGGCAAGGCCGACAGCCTATTGGACTGGCCGATAGGTCACCCACTCTTCCAGACTTGAAACAACAAGCTTTTGGTCCAAAACAATGCACAAAATAGATAAGGTTTCAAGGTTCAAAGGCAAGGTACTCCACCAAGGACTTCGAGCACTCAAAACAAACATAAACAAGAACAATCATTGAGTGCACAAGCGATGACGTCCAAGTCTTGAGGATGGTCAAAAATGGGGGTGTCTACAAAAGGTCTCCTGATAGTCAACACCATATGTTTGAGTGAACCCTTTTGCCACAAGTCTAACCTTATAACGCTCAATAGAACCATCCACTTTGTGTTTCATAGTATACATCCATTTACATCCCACTGGTCGTTTGCCCTTAGGTGACTCAGTCAATTCCCAAGTGTCATTCTTCCTAAGTGCTTTCATTTCCTCAATCATGGCAAGTTTCCACTCAGAGGTAGCAAGAGCACCTTAAAAACGGTTAGGAATGCTAACAGAGGAAATATTTGAACAAAAGCTTTATATGAGGACGACAAATGAGAGTAGGACACAAAATTTGAGATAGGATGTCGAGTACAAGATCTCACACCCTTTCTCTTGGCAATAGGAACATCAATATCAATAGGAGTATCAAGGTCAGTGGACTCAAGAGATTCAAAGTTATCTGGACTCTCATCAGAAGCAGGAGATGGTAGTGGGTGAGTAGAAGTGATCTCTTGTAGTTAGTTAATTTTCTGTCTGTCTTTGTCCCTGACATAAACTTGCCCTTCCCTATCTATGGGGACATTAGGTTTTGTAGTCTTAGGAATCATATGCATCATTTCATCATTTCACACCAAGGCTCCCGCTAAAGGGAGGACTGTGACACCGGAGAGGACAAGAAATAGGATTGGGACTCAAAGAATGTGACATGCATGGAGAAAAACCACGTACGAGAAGGAGGGTGATAACACTTCTTTTGGGTAGGAGAGTACCAGAGGAAAACACATTTGAGGGAGTGAGGGCCCAACTTACCACGAGTAGGAGAGATTGTGGACAAGACAGACACAACCGAATATTTTGAGAGGAATAGAAAACAAGGACTCAGAACCTACAAGGACTTGAAGGGGAGCTTGTTTTTGTAAGACCTGGGTAGGAAGACGATTAATAAGATGGGTAGCGGTGAGAACAGTGTCTCCCCAGTAAGACCGAGACACACTCATGGAAAAATACATTTACCGAGCCATGTCAAGAAGATGACGATTCTTGTGTTCTGTCACCCCATTTTGTTGAGGGGTATTGGTGTAAGAGGTCTAATGGATAATGCCGTAAGCAGAAAAATATTTTCCTAACCTAGAATCTATGTATTCGTCCTCATTATCAGAATAGAAGATTTTAACAGTCGTCCCAAATTGAGTACAAAACATTTTATGAAAATTGCGAAACATAGAGAAAACCTCACTCTTGTCTTTCATGAGATATACCCAACTAGTATGAGAAAAATCATCAATAAATGTAACAAACCATCAATGACCTTTCACAAACATAACATGAGATGGACCCTAGACATCAACATGTATTAATGAAAAAGAAACTAAAATTTTATTAAAACTGGGAGCAAAAGAGGCTTTGTGTTGTTTTTCAAGTTGGCATGACTCACAAAGAAACTTCGACACATTATTGTTTGCAAAAACAGATGGAAATAAATTCTTAAGTAAATAAAAAGAAGGATGCCCAAGACATCGATGCCACAACCATAAATCAACTTTATTAGTAGGATTCATGGTGGAAGAATAAGCATGCTTGTCCGGTTGATCCAGGAAGTAGAGACCATTTTCTACACTACCACTGCCAATCGTCCTCCTCGTGACAATGTCCTGAAAAAGACAATGATCAGGAAAAAAAGTCACACTACAATTCAAATCCTTTGTATTTCGACTCAAGGATAACAGGTTAACAGAAAAATTGGGGACATAGAGAACAGAAGATAGAGGTATGGTAGGAGTAACATGGACTAAACCTTTCCCGGAACTAGAATAAACAGTACTATCTACAATCCTAACTTTGTCCTGACCTGAAGAAGGCTTATAGGCAGAGAAAAGGTCAGCAGATCTAGACATATGATCTGAGGCACTAGAATCAATAGTCCAGGGCAAAGACTTATGAGAAAGAAAAACACGAGGAGAAGAGGCTAAGTTACCTAAGCGGGCAAATGGCGAAGAAGATGTACTGAGAGCAGTAGAAGATCGGCGATCCAGCATGTGATGCAAAATATCCTCAAGCTCGTGAGTAGTCATGCCAGAGAGACCATTAGAATTCTAGCCAACAGAAGCAGAAGTAGAATCAAGTGTATCAACGGCACTAGACTGACGAGCCCATGGATAAGAGCCAAGTAACCTAGATTGGCCTGACTGACCTCCTCGAGAACCAGACCGATCACCTCGATTTCTAGATGGAGTCCCATGAAGCTTCTAACACGTCTTACGAGTTTGCTTCGGCTTGCGATAGTAATCACAGAATACAGACTTCTTGGCGATAGTTGGAGTGATAAGAGTCAGGCTGAGTCCATCTCTAGGGGTAGACAGTAATGTAGAGGAGTCAGTAGAAATAGGTGACATCATAGAAAACTGACGACTTTCCTCATTCTGTACATAGGCGAATGCCTCCTGAAGTGAAGGAAGAGTGTCCCTACCCAGAACTCGACTCCGAACCGGATTATACTCTACATTGAGACTGGCCAGAAACTTGAAGACCCTTTCCTATGCAATAAAGTTCTGGTATCTGATTGAATCAGCAGTGCAAACAACCTTATAATCATATAGGTGATCAAGGCATTTCCAGCTGTTGGTGAGGAAGGTGAAGTACTAAAGAACAGTCTGCTCCCCCCTGAATAGAGATCTCAAGAGAGTGGCGCAACTCAAATGCCTGTGAGAAATTCTCTTTGCAGGGGTAGGTGGTAGCTACAACATCCTAAATATCCCGAGCAGTCTCCATAGACAAGTAGCCCTCACTAATTTCTGGTACTATCGAATGAATCAGCCAACCCATAATCAAAGAGTTGGTAATCTCCCATTGGTCATAACCCGGGTCAGTGATGCTGGGTGCTTGTATCCTGCAATCAACATACCCCATCTTCCCTCTGCTCTTCAAAAAAATAGTCAAACTTTGTGACCACGCTAGATAGTTCTGACCATTAAACGGAGAGGTGGTGATTTTAAGACTAGGGTTTGGGTCATCAGTCATAGTAGTAGGTATAATGGAACTCTCACTCCTAGGTGTGTGAGAAGTAGTGGACACACTGGTGGAATCTACCATAGATATTGTATTACTGAACCCTCAACAAAACTAGTGTCAATCACAAACCCAGAAGGTGGAGAAATACAAGCACAATGACCACTAAGAAAATTAAAGAATTAAAAAACTCATCAACAATTTTTTTTGGTTCACTTTACTGAATTTTTTTTTTTTTTTTAAAAAAACAAAGAATAAGGTTATAGTATATACTAAATAACGAGAGGGCAGGTTATTAGGGTCATACCAGTTGATACAGAAAGAGTCGGACTCGGCAAGGAATTGACCGAAAGGGTGCTACGGGATGGCTATGAGGGTCGGCAACCCTAGAAGAGTAATCTAGGGCTACTGACAGGCCTAAAGGCAAACAGAGGGTGAGTCGAGAATCTTACCCAAGCACTCCAGGTGAGCTGCGACCCCTAGAGCGACATGGGTGTGCCCTGAAATCAGCCAAGGTAGGTTGGAAAAGAGAGAAGAGATGCCAACTGGTGTTGGGTGATGGGAGAAGGTGGTCGGCTGAGGTTGGGGGGCTAACAGAGAATGAGGTGAGTTTGGCTCTGATACCATGTAGGTTTAGATAATAGAAAAGGATTAGAGAATGATTGTGATATCATTCCCTTTTTATATTAATGAAGATTAATAATTATAAGGGAGCCCTAAGGCATAGAATAATTACATTTGAATAATAACCCAACTAATAATATACTATTCTAACAGGTACTATGTCGTCTGTATCAGGGAAATGTTTAATTCATGTCACCTCATCCATTGCTTTATCCTTTGTCCTCCATGTTCCCAATTTTAGTGTTAATTTTTTTTTTTTTAATCTTTGAATCGTATTACTTGTGATTTGAATTATAGTGTAACGTTTTTTTCCCGATCATTGTCTTTTCTAGGACCTTGTCATGAAGAAAGAGATTGATAATGGTAGAGAGGAACATGGTCTTTATATTCTAGATCAGACAGACAAGCTAGCTCACTCATCTATTCAATTACCATCCACTAAGGAAGACCTTTGGCTATGGCACCGTCGTTTAGAACATCCTTTTTTTTTACTACTTCAGCATTTATTTTCTTTTGTTTTTGAAAGAAATAATGTGTTTGATTTTCAATGTGAGTCTTGTCAACTTGGGAAATAGCATCGAGCTTCTTTGCTCCTTCTATTAATAAAGTTCAGTTCCATTTACTTTGATTCATTCTAATAGCTGGGGTCCTTGATGTTTGACATTTTGTGTCTTTAAAAGGTCAAATGTGGTTTCTTACTTTCATAGATGAGTGTTCTAGGCGACTTGGGTCTATCTGATGAAAGTTAAAAGTGAGGTGTTTTCTGTGTTTCAAAAGTTTCATAAAATGATTTGCACTCAGTTTGGGACGATTGTCAAAATTTTGCATTCTGATAATGGGGGGTAATATATTGACTCTGGTCTTGCCAGTTATTTCGCCACTCATCGCATTATTCATCTAACTTCTTGCACTAATACCCCTCTACAAAATGGTGTTGCCAAACGAAAAAATCATCATCTCCTTGATGTGGCCCGCAGTATATCATTTGAAATGTGTGTTCCTAAATCCTATTGGGGGGAAAGCTATTCTCTCTGTAGCTTATTTAATTAATCGTCTTCCTACCCAAGTTCTTCAAAAACAAACACCTCTTCAAGTTCTGTTCGGGTCCACCTCTTTTGGGTTCTCCATTTCCCCTAAGACCTTTGGTTGTGTTTGTTTTGTCCATAATCATTCACCCACTCGTGCTAAATTAGATCCTTGGTCTTTTAAGTGTGTTTTCCTAGGTTACTCTGCCACACGAAAGGCTTATAAGTGTTATCATTATCCCACTCAAAAATAGTTTGTCTCTATGGATGTCTCATTTTCCGAGTCTTAGTCTTACTTTATACCCTCTCTCGTGTCCTAATCATCCCTTCAGGAGGAGCCTTGGTGTGAAAAGATTCATGTTCCACTTCTACCAGTGGTTGAACAGATAGAGGGTGATGAACTAGCAGTTGTTGAAGCAGGCAAAGTTTATGTTAGGGACAAGGACAGACAGAAAGTCACCTGGATACAAGAGACTACCTTCCCTCCTCTACTGCCAACTTCTTCTCCGAATGAGTGTCCAAAGTCACCCCCTCTCTTGAGAGTCGAGGTAATTCTGATCCTAGTGCTCATATTCCTGTGTTTTCAAATATTGATGTTCCCATTGCTAATAGGAAGGGGGTTAGGTCATGTACTCAGCATCCTATTACCAATCATGCCTTTTATTCTAATCTGTCTCCCTCATACAAAGCTTTCTATCTAAGATTTCTTTTGTGAGTTTGCCCAACAATTTTCAGGATGCTCTCTCTATTCCTGAATAGAAACATGCCATGATGGGAGAGATGAGAGCTTTCAGCAAGAATGACACTTGGGAGTTAGTGGAGTTACCTAGAAGCAAATATCCAGTTGGGTGTAAGTGGGTGTACACTGTCAAACACAATGCAAATGGTTCCATCGAACGATACAAGGCAAGACTGGTTGCTAAGGGCTTCACTCAGACTTATGGAGTAGATTAGCAGGAGACATTTGCCCCGGTTGCTAAGATGAACTCTGTGAGAATACTACTCTCTCTTGCAGTAAATTTGAATTGGTCACTTCATCAGTTTAATGTGAAGAATGCCTTCCTTCATGGAGACCTAGAAGAAGAGGTCTATATGGATATTCCCCCTGGTTTGTAGGATGCTAAGTCCAAAGGTAAAGTCTGTTGGATCCAAAAGTCACTTTATAGGCTAAAGCAATTGCCTAGGGCGTGGTTTGAACGTTTTGCTCAAGCTATGTTGAGATATGAGTTTGAGCAAAGTCAAGCTGATCACGCCTTATTTGTGAAACACTCTTCACATGGTAAGACCACAACTCTTATTGTTTATGTTGATGATATTGTTCTAATAGGGGATGATGTTGAGGAGATCCCTCGGTTGAAGGAATATTTAGCCAAGGAGTTTGAAATCAAAGACCTGGGTCAATTGAAGTATTTATTGGGCACTGAAGTAGCTCGGTCCAAGGATGGCATCTTTATATTCCAGAGGAAGTATGTACTTGACTTGCTAAAGAAAATTGGGATGCTTGGAGGTAGACCATGTGATACACCTCTAGAATTGGGCCAGAAACTAAGTGAGGATTAAGGGGAAAGCCCACGGATAGAGGAAGATATCAAAGGCTAGTAGAAAAGCTCATATACTTATCTCACTCACGTCTAGACATTGCCATTACAGTGAGCATGTTCAGCCAATTTATACGTGCCCCTAAAGCTTCCCACTTAGAGACAGTGATGAGAATCCTGAGGTACCTAAAGTCCTTTCTAGAAAGGGTCTCTATTTCTCGAAACATGGACATCTCGATGTGGAGGCATTTACTGATGTGAATTGGTTTCGATCAGTCACTGACAGACGATCAACTTTTGGATATTGCACATTTGTTGGTGGCAACTTAGTCACATAGCGAAGCAAGAAACATAATATGGTCGCTAGATCTAGTGTTGAGGTAGAATTCAGAGTTGTGGTTATTGTTGGAAGACTTGGGGATTCATCAAACCGATTCCATGAGATTGTACTGTGACAACAAGGCGGCGATCAACATAGCTCATAATCCAGTTCATCATGACAGAACTAAGTATGTGGAGATTGATAGTCACTTCATCAAGGAAAAACTCACTAGTGGCACCATATGTACTCCTCTTGTGAAGATTGGGGACTAACTAGCAGATGTTCTCACCAAAGGAATAGGGAGCAAACCATTTTATGACATTCTTAACAAGCTAGCCATGAGAGATATCTTCGCACCGGCTTGAGGGGGAGTGTTAGAATAGGGAATTATATTATTTTGATTTGTTCCTTGATTGATGTAATGGGCTGTTATGAGCTAGCCCTTAATTCTTGCCTTATGGCACTCCTGTAATTATGCTTTATATCTAATATAAAAGGGGGTGAGGCCTCACTCATTTCAGATCTCTTTCTCTTCTCTAAATCTATCATTATATACAATAATAAAGAGCAAAATCAAAGCGGGAAATATATTAAAAACTTATGAACTAGATGTGAAATCCAAAAAGTGAGAAATTGATGATAAAGTCTTTAAAGAAGTAATGCGGGGTTTGAAAGGTTTTTCTAATAACATTGGAATACAATAGCATAATGCATTGAAAGAATATCGAAACCAGTGCCATGGATAGTCAAAGGGAAAAGCTCCTATATCTAAATATACTTCGTGGTTGAATAGTGAGATTTAAGCCATAGTGTAGACATCCCATTTTTGACCGTCCTCAAGACTTGGATGTCATCGTTTGAACACTCGATGATTATCCATGTTCGTGTTCGTTTTGAGATCCAGGAGGTCTCGGCCGCGCAACAAGATCTCTCAACTTGTCTATTTTGTACTTGGTTGTGGACCAAACACTTGTGTTTTTGCTTCTAAGGGAAGATGGTGGCTTGTTTGCCATACCCTCAACCCACCGACCAAGGCTTGAGGCCATCGGCCCTGTTTTCTTTCCATCGGCCAAAGGCATTGGCCGATCGATACTTTATTTGGTCGGCCGGCCCTTATGTTGGTCGATCAGCCATTTTTGCTGGTCGAACCCTATTCATCTGCTTTATACAGATATTTTATGGCAACTGACACAACTGGCATCCATAATTAACCCCCTCCATACACATGTACGAAGGGATTTGCCCTTTGCTTAGCTTCTCCAAGAAGCTTTGCAAATTGGATTTCTATAAGAGGGGAGCCCCTCCTTCCTTCTTAGAGGTTCATCCAACTGATATAGAATATATATATCACTCTCTCTATATCTCATCTTTCTCTATAGTTGTGTGTGTAACAGTGTTCTAAAGGGTGTTCTTGTTCATATTTTTGCACTAAAGCATCTAGTGGTACAATATCCCCTAGTTACTGAGGTGCTAAGGAGTTGATTTCAGAGTTTTTGAGTTGGTTTTGATCAGAAGGAGGTGCTGGAGTTGGTGTTCTTGAAGTGTTCTTCAAGGGTGAGAAACTACTCTTTTATT